ATTTTTAAAATTTTAATTAATAATTAATAAAATCTTTCCTATTTCATCCATAATACTTTTAAAAAATAAATAATCAAACATCAAAATAACTTTTAATCATAGCTACAACCACAGTATTTTACAACAATCCCAGATGCATGCTTATATTGTGATAATCAAATTGTTATACAAATTACTCACAATGATGTCTTTTATGTCTTTCATGATCGCATAAAGCATATTGAGGTTAATTGTCACTTTATCTATAATCATATTGCAAAGGAAACTGTTCATTTGATTTTCATTAGTTCTACTGATCAAACTGTAAATTTGTTCACCAAGGCTTACTTCCCTAGATGCTTTCAAACTTTTCTTTCCAAACTGAAGTTCATTTCCTCACCACCACCTTGAATTTGTGGGGATGTTAAAATATCAATATTTATTTTAGAATATTAACATTTATGTTAGAATATTATATTCACATTGTAATTGATTATATAAATTTAAGCTAATTGGTTTTATACCAAGGAATATTTTATTATATAGATCTATATATAGGATCTTTGTATATACAATAAAAACGAGAAAACAAGAAACCTTTCTTCAAATATTTCTTCTTCTTTTCTATTTCCAACAATTTGTTTTAGATTCCTCCTTCGGTTTGTATAGGCTATAATTCATTTATTCTTTAAATTTCTACATAGATATTCTGTAATTCGATTCACAATATTCTCCATTACTTCCATTTGTATATAGGAAACTTATAACAAAATAACTTGATTCTTTTGACATGGATAGCTCAACATGTTTAACTTTTGCTTGAATGTAATCAGAAGCATTATCAAAAATCAATATGCAACATACTGCAAAGATGAATAAGTTATTATTGTAACATTCAATAAGCACTTTCCAATCACTGAAGCAAAATGACTCTCAGGAGTATGTGCAGAAAAGGTACCTTGGTGCCCAATATGAAGAAGTTTTGAACCCTTTGTTGAATCAAATAATGTCAGTTATCCTTATTCTTATCAGACGCAGCAACCTATATATAAATCAATTGACAAGGATCAACGATTTCACACATGTTTATGTGACAGAGTAATACCATAGTTTCAGTAAAAGCATTAAATCCTAAATACTGTGTGTACCTTGAAAGGAAGGATATTTGGTCATTTAAGTCCCAGAACTGTGCTTAATATATACCTTGTTCCATGATCAAGCATCATGTGAATCTCTTTTCTCGCAGTTGATGGCCACATTCCAGCAGGGTCTCTACCAACAATGTAAAAGCTAGCCCCTGCATTTATCTAAGATATTTCATGCCACTGGGCTTCAGTTGGGCAGGCATAACATATGGGAGTTGAAATATAGACACCACCTAGAACACCATCCTCAAGCACCTGATAGATCATCATCAAACTGATTCAGCAACAAAAGCAAATAGATGAAGATGTACCAATAAAAAAAGCAAATACATGAAGAATCAAATAAATAAACCAGTCAGTCAGTTTCCAACACACAAAATAAAATTTAAAAAAATATTCAATTCTTAATCTTCTCTGGAATCCTCTCCACTGAGGATTCTGCGAATATATTCTTCTTCCCCAATTCTTGACAATAGTGATCTCAGCAAGTCTCTTGACAACTTAACTCATAACCATCAGAGAGTGGTGGAAGCAAGCGTCGATTTCATCTGCAAAATCAGTCCTTGGTCCAATCAATGTCCTAGAGCTCTCAATTTTTAGAGAAATTAAGCAGAGGAAAGTTTCCTTAGATTCAGATGGATGGTTAGTTAAGGTAAATAATATGATTAATTGTAGTATTTGGGTGATATATAAGAATTGAAGTTAAAGTTATTGCTTAAGTTTCTCAAAATAAATTAGTAGCTAAGAGGTAATAAATTTTTGGGTTTTGACTAGACAAGATTCGGAAGATAATTGTGCCTTTAAACTATGCATATTATGTGTTTGTAGAATTGCCTAAGTGAGTTTTGCAAAGGCATTTTCTCTTTAACACATATTGGGATTAAGCTTTTTCCAAAAGGTTTCTCTTTTTTGGTCAAGGAGAGGTTTCATTTGAAATTATATATGTTGACCAGCCAAAATAAATGGATTCACCAATTATCGGAATAAAGTAAGATAAATGCATGGAGATTGACTGGAATCAGAGGGTTAATTAAGCTTAGGGAAAGTGTTAGGCATCTCACAGCTTTCATATAATATGGTTCCCATATGCTTCAAATTTGAGAAATTTTCAATTTTTATGCAAAAATAATAATTATCAAAAAAATAAAAATAAACAAAGAAATACTTC